GGAGTCAGGAGCAGGGAGCAGGGAGCCTGGGCCTGGGGCCTGGGTGGCCGCCGCCTCTGCTTCAGCACCGGGCGGCGCCGGGGCTCTGGGCGCTGTGGGGGGCCTCGCAGACAGCCAAGTAGGCCGACTCGGGGAAGAAGTCGTTGTGATAGTCCGCCAGAAACCTCAGAAAGAGATCGAAGTGCTTCAGTAACGCCTTCAAATTCTTCTCGGAAAAGGACATGTTCCCAAGGATTTCTGGCAGTTTGACGAACAAGCGCAGCAAATGCTGTGAGCCATAAATGTAGGAAGGCGGCGGCGGCTGGTCTCCGGCGGGGAAATGGTCCGGGACGAGCTTCCAAGAGAGGCCCTCATTTATTTCACGACCCCATCTTCCCTCGAAGCCAGCAAACGTCGCACCGGCCTCCTGGCTCGGGGGGCCGGACCCGGGGGAAGAGGACCCGCTGTGCGCAGGCGTCGCCTTGCCCGGGGGCGGGAACCGCTTCGGCGTGATGGCGGCTGCGTCCAGGGGCCGCGGCGGAGACGCGGGAGCGCGCCGCTCACAGTTGGAGCCGTGGCGCGCGGAGCGCCGCCGAGACTGCGAACCCTGGGGCTCGGCTTTGCGCCGTTTGGGGGTGGCGGGCGCCCCCGAGGCAGGCTGGCTGTCGACGGACGGCGGGGCGGGCGGCTCCTCCGCGTCCCGGGGGGCGAGCGTGGCGCGTTCCTGAACTGGAGGGAAGAAGCGGGCCGACGTCACCTTCTTATACTGTGCTTGCTCGCCCGGGTAGAGCAAAAGCAACGGAAGTGTGTAATCAAAAGTGATCCGTAACCCGTCCGCCATTTCCTTGCACAGGTCCACATTCTTCTCGGCGGGGACACGAGGGGCACTGGGGTGGGCGTGTGGCAGGACGTGGTGGTGGCGAGGTCTCGCGTTGGCTGGAAAGGCGGTGTGGACAGCGAAATGCTTCACGTAGGATTCCAAGAGGGTGACGACGTTGGTCTGGCTCGGGAGTTTCACGAGGCGCTTCCTCCGGTTAATGTAGTAGCAATCATCCTCCAGCTTCTTCCGCAGCACTTGGGGAATGTCTATAGTGATCGCCCGGTCTTCCATGGCCCTCTTCCGGGGCTGCGGCGGCGGTGGCGGCGCGGCTTCCTTCCCGGCAGCCCTTTCTTCAGCGGCGCTGCCTTCATTTAGCTCCGCCTCCGTCTCCTCGCCGCTGGCGTCCTCACCGCTGCTTTCCGAGTGTCCGGCGGTGTCCTCTCGCTCGTCCACCGGCGGACTTTCTACCACAGAGTCCGCACCGGGAGGCCTGCAGCGTTTCGTCTTTCTGCCTTTCCTCAGGCGACCTTGAGCTTTTCTGGCCAATTTCCGCTGTAATCTCCGGTTCTCCTCGGTATCTCGGAGCACGTGATCTTCAGCTGCCCACCTATCCCAGCTTCGGTTCCAGCCATTAAAATGGATCAGATATTCTGGGATGCTTCTGCCGTCTTCATCTTTGCCAACCATAGCATCGATAATCTTGGCATCGTAAAGCACCCGAGCCTTGGTGGGGTCAGGCTCGAAGCACAGCACTTTCTCTCCAGACTGGAATTTCAGGTCCATGCCCTCACTCGAGCTCATTTGCTCATCTTGGCGGGAGAGAGGCTCCAAGCCACTCCCGGTGGGCGGAGCGTGACGCAGGGGGCGGGGAGAGAGGGGTGGGGCTCAAGTCTATTGAGGTGGTTGCTATCTTCTGATGGCGTCCATTCAGTGCTGTACTTTGGGTCTTAAGGACCTATTTTAATTTTCTTGAGCTTCAACTTGCATATAATTGATGGTCTGTCATTCGGTCAGCCCCTGGCCTTGTTCTGGCTCGTAATAATGACTTTAACCATCTTCTTTTTCCACCGATGTAATTGGTTTGATTCTTCCGTATTCTGTCTGGCTTGGTCCACATGTATAGACACAACTTACGTTGTTGAAAAAAAGGCATTTCCAACGAATAAGTCATTGGTCTTCCAAAATTCTATCTTACGCTCACCTGTGTCTTTTCTTTCTCCAAGGGCATATTTCCAACGACCCAAACTTTCTTTTTGTTTCCAGCTTTCTAATCACCGGTAATTATTGATGCATCTTGTTGTCTGCATGCTTGATCAATGTCAGACTGCAGAAGTACAACGCTGTCCGTGATAGGGTAATATCCAGATACCTATAGGAAAGACCAGTTAATACATCTATTATTCAAAATTATGTGCCAGCCAATAAAGCCAAAGGTGAAGAAATTGAAGGTTTTTACCAACTTCTGTGACCTTTAGAGCTAATTATTCCTTATTTAAAATATCCCTGTTCAATTTACCATGTGGCTTCTGCAAACTGATTGAACATCAATTCAAATAATGATATATTATTTTGTAAAGTAATAAGTGCTATGAGGGAAAAAACAACATAGAACAGAAGTACTGGAAGAAGAGGGTTTGTGTTTGGAGTGGAACACTCTATTCCTTATCAGGAAAATTATGATTGAACACATAATTGAAGATATGGAAGGAAGTGAGCCATGAAATAATCAAGATTCCAAGTGGAAGAAATGCCCAAGCCTTGAGGAGAGAGAGAGCTTGGAATGTTCTAGAAACATAAATGGAGAGAACAGCGTGACACAACTGCACAACAGTCACCCACGAGGGTTCGGACCTGACTGTGCTGGGCCTCAGACCTCTGTACGGACTTGGAACTTTTCTTCTGGGTGGAATGGAAAACCCCTAGAGAACTCACAAAGTCACAGGTTTGTAAAAGGTCATTCCAGTGGCTACACTGAAAATAGATTTGTTTAAACAGGCTTTATTTTTTAAAGCAGTTTTGGGTTTAGAAATTTATGCAGAAAACGATCCAAAAAGCCTTGTGCCATCAAGTGAATTCCAACTCATAGTGTCCCTACATAGGGCTTCTGAGGCTGTAACTCTACGAAAGCAGACAGCTTCAACTCTCCAGCAGCGTGGTTGGTAGGTTTCAAAAACCTTGTAGTTAGCAATCCAATGCTTACCCAAGAGCGTCACCAGGGCTTCTCTCCCCACTGCACACTCTTCCCTACTGCTGCCATTATGTATTTGGCTGGTGCATTTGGTACAACTAACTGATGGGTCTGTGTAGTGATAAATTATTAGTAACTAAAGTCCATGGCTTACATTAGGTTCACTCTTTGTGTATGCTGCTTCTATGGGTTTGGGCAAGTACATAATGTCATATAGAATAGTTTCACTGCCTTAAAAAATGCCCTGTGCACCACCTGTTCATTTATCCTCACTCTTTTCAAACCCTTAACAATCAAACAGCTCTGTGTTGTGGGCAGTATAGCAAGAATGCTCCTTAGAAATAAGGATGGTGAGAGTTTGCCTCACATACTTGGGACATGTTAACAGGAGAGATCAGTCCCTAAATAATGACATCATGCTTGGCAAAGTAGAGTGACAGTGAAAAAGAGGAAGACTGTTGGTGAGATGAATTGACACATTGGCTACAACAAGGGGCTTAAACATAATGACCTTGAAGATGGACCAGTAGGACTGAGCAGTGTTGCACATAGGAGTGCTATAAGTTAGAACTGAATGGATGGCACCTAACACAAACAGCAATAACACAGTTTTGCCTTCCTCAGATTGTCAGAGGTGGAATCATGGCACAAAGCTTCTTTGGACTGGCTTCTTTCAATTCGCAATGTACTTAACTTCAGCTTCCTCCATGTCTTTTCATGGCTTGACAGCTCATTTCTCTTCATCACTGAATAATCTTCTATTATATGTACTGTGGCAGTTACATAATCGGTCAACTTGCGAAGAGGTGGAGTCTAGCCTATCAGGTCATAGCCAATGAAACCTCTGTGTGGGCATGGTCTTCTCCTGAGGATTCTGGGAGCTCCTGTTTTCCTCCCTGGAGGTGGGACACGCACTCTCTGTTTGTCTTTCTGCTGACAAACCACATGGAGACGCCTGATGGAAACAGAGCCCTGGAACTGGAGGAGCTACATGCCCACACCAGTACTGAGATGCTTCCACCACCACTGGATCCACAAGACTTTCCACCCACTGGCCTGTGATCTTGCTGCATTTGTCGTCATTGCCTGTGTTTCATAAGTCTGAAGAGGAAATTACAAACTGCTATTGGACATATGGGCTAATATTGGACTTATGGATTTTATCTGGACTGGGCTGGGATGTTTTCTTAATATATAATTACTCTTTGATATGTAGCTCTTTCTTATTTATATACATATGAGTGTCCTGGATTTGTTTCTCTAGTCAAACTAGACTAACATATCTATGTACAAAGTTGTCTGTCCATTCACCTACTGGAAGACAGCTTTGTAGTTCCAATTTTGGGTGTTTATGAATAAAACTGCTTTAGAAATGCATGTGCTGATTTTTATGTGGACAAATATTCTCATCTCATTTGGGTAAATACCTAGGAACCCGATTGCTGGATCATACAGTAAACTGATGTTTAGATTTGTAAGAAACTGCCAAACTGTCTTCCAAAGCAGCTTCACAAAAAAAATAAATAAATA